AACAAAATTAAAATCAAATGTGTAACTTCTGTATGTTGTATATGGAAAACAGTATGAACAATTTTTTTTAATAACTTTAAATTTCTCCAACTCTCAAATCAATTTTTCGGCTTAAGATAGGATTAGCAAGGCACTATCAAAAGTAAAAAATATATATATAAATAAATAAAAAATCACACACATACAGAAAAAAAACATAAACTTTAAATATGACTTGTAAATTTCAAAATTAAAACAGAGATACTGACAATAGAAAACAAACATCGTGGTACAGGTAACTTAAATTGTCGATTTCGAAATCCAATTTACAAATACTGTCAAATAATAAATATCTTGACAAATATTTCACTCTCCATGTTCCTAAAGTTTGCATCGAGGTTACATGTACCATTGCAGGGATTTTTATTACATATGCATATATATGGGTTGTACATTTAAAAGAACCGCTGTGCAGTAAATTAAACTTACCTTTTTTATCTTTTACCGACATTTTTATTCCACCAAATGTAAATAAAGTACAGGCACGTGCATGCCTCAACATTTAAATCACCCATAAGTACCGTGGTCAGTTATTGAGAAAAAGTTCGCTCTCGATATGTTCCATCGTATAAATTTTTACAAAATAAATGAATAATAATTAATAGCATTCCAAAAGATTTGAAATAAATTTAATTTATAAATTAGATTCGCATAATTCCTATATTCATGTCTCTTACAGGGAAACATTTTCCAGAAATTGTCTTTACTGAACAGTGGCGGATCCAAAAAGGGGCTACGGGGTGGTATTGATTTGAAACTAGGAAAACAGAGGCGAGGTTGTCGTAATTGGCATCTCTGGGCCTGTATACCACAGGTGTTTGTGGACAGGACCCTCCTTTTACTATTCTATATATTTTTTTTTAAATAATTATAAATTTAGAAATAATTTTCTTATTTTTTTGCCTCTTACTATACTTCATCTACAAGTTCTTGATAAAAAAAATCACCTTGAAATCCGACACATTACTTCTCTCTAATATTTGTAGGGGTAATGCATGTTTTTAGAATTTGCATCTGCCTCGGATTTCAAGGTGATTTTTAAATTTTGATTGTATCATCTGTCCTATAATCTTGATAGATAATTCATATATTAGAATATAATCAAATGCAGTCTTAGTCTCATGAAATTTTTATGTCGACTGAATAATCCCCTTCACCCCTTCTCCCTAGCAACTACAGTGTACATTGCATACACACCGACTTTATTTTTTCTCTTCTGAATCTACCGTTAAACATTTTGTTAAAAAGGATTATGTTGACCCCGCCTTCTCCATAACTTCAGTACTTACATGTAACAGAATGACTTAGAATTAAAAAACCTCTTTAATTGATTGGTCCAATAACCAACCAGTTGACACCTCATTCAGAAAGTTCCGTACAGGCGGCAGTGTTACACCAGAGGCGATTTAGTGAAGACCAAATCGTCAGTAGAGTGAACCAAATAAGTGTACATATATCAAAGTCTTTATGGCCAGAATACATGCACGCCAATGATAAAAGGAATTGGAATCAATTAGTGACATGTTCACTATCGATATATCTTTTAATTTAGTTTTATATTCATTGTCATATGATAAATAAATTACAGTAAAATAAAATTTGCAACCTATACGTGAATAATCATGTGGGCTTACATCATGTAGTACAAAGTGTTTTAATTACCAATAAAAGCAGCAAAACAATTTTAAACTGAAAATATGACAAACATACACAATGTATCAGTAGGAATAGGAAGCGCCAATGGCACTTTTAGTAGTTCAATAGCCCTATTCCTAGCGTAACGTTTTACATGCGTTGCAAATTTCTATGGCTTAATTATTTTGTGATTATAAGTGAACAGATATGTTTTCTTGGAAAATTAATTTTTCAAGAATGTTTAGTTTCAAGAATGTTTAAATTCATAATTAAAAATTATTGGTTGTGATTTACTTCGAATATAACTAAGCAGTACCGTAAATTTTTCCGATAATAGTGATGCCAGAATTAAAACACTATTACTTTTTAATAATGTTTTCTTATATAAAGTTTTCTAAGACAGATAAGCACATGTAGCGAAATGTTGGAAAGCAGAAAAAGAAAAAAAGAAAGAGAGTGTAAGAAACAGGGAGACGGTGGTGTGAGAGAAAATATGCTGGGAGAGGGAGACATAGGATAGGGAAAAAACGAAAGGGAAGTATGTACCTTTCTTTGTACCTGCCCTATTCCTATTCCTTCTCGACTCCCTTATTCGGGATGGAGTGGGGAAAAGTTAACTCCTACACTCCGCTCCCTGAGAGAGAAAGAGGAGTGAGAGAGAGCGGAGTGAGAGAGAGAAGAGTGAGAGAGGGAGGAGTGAGAGAGAGGAGTGAGAGGGGGAGGAGAGAGAGAAGAGTGAGAGAGGGAGGAGAGAGAGAAAAGGAGGAGCGAGAGACGAGTGAGAAAGGGAGGAGTGAGAGAGATCGACGGGAGAGAGAGAGGAGAGGAGTGAGAGTTGGGTGAAAGAGGAATGAGAGAAGAGAGAGAGAAGGAGCGAGAGAGAGACGAGTGAGAGAGAGATCGACTGGAGAGAGAGAGGAGTGAGAGTTGGGTGAAAGAGGAATGGGAGAGAGTGAGAGAAGTAAGAGAGAGGGGTGGGAGAGAGAGAAGAGTGAGAAAGAAAGAGGGGTGGGAGAGAGAGAAGAGTGAGAGAGAGACAGGGGGTGGGAAAGAGAGAGAGAAAAGTGGGAGAGAGAGAGGAGGGAGAGTTGGGAGAAAGAGGGGTTAGAGAAAGAGGAGAAAGAAAAGTGAGAATGTGAGAGGGGATAAAGAGGGGAGAGATTGGGGGAGAGAGAGAGAGGGAGAGAGAGGGAGAGAGACAGAAGGGAGGAAAAGAGGCGAGGGAGAGAAGGGAAGGAGTGGAGAGAGAGAATGCATTTATGTATAAAAATGGTAAAGTAATGTATTGATCAAATTCTGGAATAGGGGTTGGGTGGGGGTTGAACCGCAGACCCCAAACACAAAAACAGTAGGCTATACATACATATACACAAAAGGGATATGGAGATAACGAACAGTATTCAATCTCAAAGTCCTTAAAACAATCCAAAAAACGCCACATAGTTTGAACTTTTTTTGTCTTTTCCCCTGGAGTTGAAGAGTTCGAATACTCCAGTAAAGCCTGGAACTGTGTGCTTTTTTAAAGATCTATTTATACTATTGTACACATTTTCCCAAACAAGTTTTGATTTTTTGTATATTTAACTTTGAATTATACAAGATTTTCATCGATTGATATTTTTGTGCCCCGCTGAAAGTGTGGGAAATTAATTTCGATCTGTCTGTCCGTACCTTCCAGCCGTATAGCTGTCTGTGCGTAAAGCTTTCGTTTCCACGGGATATCACGAGAAGCATTTGAGAGTTTTGCAATGAAATATTACAAAATAACTCTGGACATCTCGATCACTGTATATATCTTCCCACTTTTCTAGCGGGGATATAATTTAAACAAATGATAATCATTGCCTATCCCAGTAAGGAAAGTCACACGCAATGTAACATGTCTAAAGGAGGTTGAAAGTTTCTTCGTCACTGAAATTGTCAGCAGAAAATTTAAAGGATTATGTAATCATCAAGTTAAACTAACAAGGAAATCATAGAATATTTTAACTCTTTAAATAATCATTTAGCATGTTTAATGTAATATATAACATATTAAAGTTTTAATCATATCTTACATGTCTTAAAAACATTTTCTTGATTTTGAACATTATGCATTGTAACATCTCATATACATTTTGTTCAGTCTGTTTATAAATATCACGGTGTATAGCCTAAAAAGCAATAAAATACGCAGACTAAGTCTTAAAAAAAGTTTAAAAACTACGTACAAAACAAATAACAAATACATTTAATGTAGAAGGTTCCAAAGGCAAGGCTACAATGTATGACAAATATTGAATATCTATAATGTAAATCTGTGCATCTTTCAAAATTCAAAGTCACGACCCGTCCCGAATTTTCTCGTACGCTCTGGCGACCTGTAAAATCGTTACTTCATCGAACATTTTCCCCACAATCGACATTGCACAGGGCAACCCTTCACTAAATCCAGCGTTAATAGTAAGGGCAGGGTGTCCAGTTGAGTTAAATGGGGCTGTGTTTCTCACCATTCCTAACAATAATTTCAACGTTTCTGAAAAAAAGTCATCCAAAAGTTAATGTTAATATACATGAAAATTCAAAAAATTTGGACATTTATATAAAAATTTAATACATTTTGATTGCTTTTCATATGCACATATTAAAAAAACCTCTGAATTGTTTCTAATGCATGGACTTCATATGCACCTTGAACTGAGTTACTTGTCGTAGGGAGTTTAAACGGCTTCCCCGGAAGTGTGGGCATTATCATGACGTCATAATCCTTAAGAACTCTGTTGTATTCCCTTGTCAAAAGTTGGACCAAATTCTGTGCCTTGGCATAAAATTTGTTCTGATAATTTCTCTGCATATACTCGGAAAACAGCATGACTGCTTTGACCGGTAGGGGGCAGTCAAATGGGCGGAGATTATAAGCCCCGGCCAGGGCTTCCTGTAGTGAGAGGTCATAGGCCCCTTTCCAACTGTATCCGTGACCTACGATAGAACATTAAGGTCAAGGTCAAATTTATATTTTTGTGGCAGGTCACAATTATTTAACAGTCTTGTTTTGAATCCTCTTTAAAGTTCAAAAATATATTATATTCACTAAATCTTTTACCGTTTCCTTTCACCATTGTGTTATATGTCCCCTCAAAAGCAATTGGTGTCCAGATTGCTTTACCTGCATGAAATATAAACAAAATGATAACTATAAGTAATTATACTTGTTGCCTGTAATTTAAAAGAAAATCAGCGTTTCAAGCGCATCTACTCTTCAGGAAGTGGTTTCAGATCAAACCCTGCTAACAGTGAGCAAAACTTAAAACATATGCACCTACATTCTGAGAGAGGTCAAAAAGAAATTAAAATTCTAGTTTCTTATAAGTTAATGAAAGAATGCTCTGAAATACTTCATGTAACAGCATACAATGTAATAGAAAAAATGTTCCTGAATCGTACCATCTTTGTGGAATAAGGGGTAGTTGCAAAACAAGAGGGATTCATACCATCATTGTGAATTGGGAGGGAAACTTCTGTGACGTCAGCTCCCGCCTCCTTCAGTCTATAAGCTGCTTCCTTTACAATCTTCGCCACATCTTCCTCTACCTCATCAAAACCCTCTTTCAAAATGGCTATCTTCTTCCCTTTTATTCCATCGCCAAACTGAATATGTATAAATATTACATACATGTATAAGATTTCAATTCTTAGGCGATGAAGAGTTTTATCATTGTTTATCACAGCCGTTACATCACACACTTGAGACTTCTTACAACTGCACATTTGATATATTTTATGATAAAGTTGAGCACACGATGTAACATTAAAGAGTTAGCTAAAGAAGTTAAGTGCTAATCTGCCCTAAGGGTCGTTCTTGAGCCGATTGAAAAGCATCAGATCTCCACTTCAATGTTTATTTTGTTTTAAAACACTTATAGGAGAAGTCAAAAATTTCCTGGGATTGACAACAGACTTTTTTTATCAAATAAATTAATTATCCAACAAAACTGAAACTCGCAGACACTTCAACAAACCCAAAACCCCAACCCCTCTCTCTTTCCTAGATCCACTCCTTTGATCTCACTAGGAGGCACTTGTTTTCTTACCAGTTTAGAATAGGGAGGTGTCGGCATTGCAGGAAACTGGCGCGGATCATTACCATCATCATAACCAACAATCACCTGTTTTAAAAAAATACATTGAAATTGCAATTGGTTCACTTACATCATACGAACAACAATGTTAAGTAGTTTTCCCCACAGGCCTTCAGATCATCTTAAAAAAATTGAGGTGTTAAATACATCCCATTCTTCAAAGTTGTATTTAAGCGATCCAAAGGCCAGTGGTTTCCCAGATCAACCTGCCTAACACACCTCTAATAGTGCAGCACAGTCTTCCACTGTCCTGGCCATTGGTCCCGTGTGGTCTATGGTGATTTCTATGGGCATTATCCCGGTGTATGGTACTAGCCCATAGGTGGGTTTGAGGCCTATAATTCCACACCACCCTGCTGGAATACGAATAGATCCGCCTTGGTCCCCTCCGATCGCCACGTCGACTTCCTTTCTTGCAACCTTAACCAACAGAAGGTAAACTCAACCGACATGTTAATAAAGTATGGATATTTATCTCATTTAGATATATTTATTTTTTCTACACCCATCATAAACTCTCGAAATCTTAATCCATATATGTATATATTTATAACCTCCCATTGCCTTTTTCGAATATTTCGTAAAATTTTTGACGTACTTTGAAACTAAGATAAAACTTAAATGCAATCTTTATTCATTATTCAAAAAAAAAAAAAAAAAAAAAAGAAAAAGAAAGAAAACCAGAAGGATTTATATTCTAGAACCATCTGTCCATTTTCTTATGCTCCTTTTTTAGTTCATGTACATGTACTTTTCTTGCTTCTCAAGAGAGTTCGGAAGGGTATAAACGTACTCGTTCATGTACACCATTTTGACATAATGTAAAACACCATTTCAGACATAAGGCATCGCTTGTTTTTTTTTCTGAGATTCATTTGTTACAACTTCTTTTTAAAGATACAATTAAACAAATTTTAAGGTTCGGCTAAACATAATTACCAAGGAAGCAGACCCAGAACTTGATCCGCCCGCGCACCTCGTTGGATCGAACGGGTTTTTGACTGGTCCAGTTACTGATGTAACACTGTTTCCAGAGAAACACAGGTCTTCACAAACGGCTTTACCCAGAATTCTACCACCTAAAATATAGTATACAAAGACTAATAATACTGAAATGAATCTTTTGGTTAAATTTGTGATTGCTCAGAGGACTTTTAACTGTGAAGTGTGAACTATAAGCTCTCTCTCCCTCTCTCAACATACCTGCATCCAATATCCGTGTCACAATCGTGGCATCTCTGTCGGGCACGAACCCCTCCAGTATTTTACTTCCGTTCATCATGGGAACTCCCGCCACGCACACATTGTCTTTGATTGCTACAGTTTTTCCCGCTAAAAGTCCCTTTTCGGCCCCTTTGATGTCGCAGCGGTAATACCTTGACGATATAAATTGAACTATTACCAACAATTCCTTTTGAAATATGTTACGAATCTTCGTATAACTTGAAGTAATGTAGTGGCTTTAAAAGTTACTGTTGACTTTTTGATTTGCGGTGAATATATATTTTCTTAAACATACACTCACCATGAATCGTCTTTGGTTTCCCTGTACCCAGGCGTCCTTGGGTATTTGACGGTTGGGGTCGGGGAGACAAGTTCATAAATCCTCTGATAATCCTTGCAAACATCTCCACAGAAATCTAAAAAATGAATTTGCCGCTCTCATTATTCAAGCCTGAAAGTATAGTATGCCAAATCTCTAAATGGGTTCCATGGCTAAGACTTCTTTTAAAACTCCCATTCCGACCAAGATGATCTTTTCCCTTTCCATCCAGGATGACTGCACTTTTGGTCGATGAATAGAAAGATCTTTATGATCATCCCACCTCTAAACAATTTCAAAATTTAGCCCAAGTAGTTTTACAAAGTAGCCATTAACATTGACGAAGACTTCGGATCTGCTACCCGAATACAGGTGTTTTGAGAAGATGGAAAAATAGGTACCACTTATGATGCCATCCAAGGAAAGTTGGAGGCAAATGCAGACGCATACGCACATGTAAGTGCAAAGTAGCACTAAGCTAGTTCTCGCATAATTTGCTATTGGGCATCAGGTCCGGAGTCCTGTTAAACAGTGATGACTTGTTTAGAAAAAATATAAAAATGTGGCGCCAATAACGTAGCCGGAAATATCGCAAAAAAAGATACGTCAGGAAATGGCAAGCCAGCACTCAGTGGTGGTAGGCAGTAATACTAAGTGGGTGGTAAGAAACGAAAGGCCTTGAACCTTGGCCTAGTTCAATGTACTTCCACACTCCAGGATGTTTCTCCAACTTAAACTACAGATCAGGAAAACGAGCATTATGACAGTATTTCAACATGTACTACTTAATCTGGGTACAAGGCGCTGACACCGACCACTGATTAAAGCGTTATGATTAAAACATGCATTGTAACGGAGTAAGAAGGGAGGGTGATACTAAACACAGGCCCCAATTCTGATTGTATGCTCTTAAATTAACTGAGTACGGGGCTGACAACAAATATAAACTATAAGTACTACTGCTGAGTATTTCTATGATTTTTACTTACCGCTAAAGTAATACTTTGAAAATGAGAATTGCTCGCTCTATATAATTTCTGTTTTAATTTACACAAGGACATGTACCATATAAGGCGCTGGTTTCCTCTGTTGTGAGCTTCAGTCTGAGATCATCAGAAATTGTTTTGATTTCATCTTCAGTTATCCGAACTATCGCAGGACTCTTTTGAAATTCTGCAAAACAAAGACGTTTGTTTAATATAATGTTAAAGGGTTCTATTTTTTAAACCAACATGTATATAACGATGACCCTAAACCACCAAAGTATACCATATAAAATTTCTTTGATAAAGACTTCCCAAATTTGTAGATCTCCCGAATATCATCGCATACGTACTTAAAACAAGCAAATGTTATTCCATAATTTAAAAGTGGTGAACGAGCTTTAAGTCGACAACAACATAACTGGATGCACAAATTATTATTCAAAATCAAGATCAAAGGTCAAGGCCGAAGAAGTTATAGGTTGGACTTTCAGTTGGTGTTTGAAACATCACATCGAATTGCATAATCTTAAACACTGTGTTAGATTTATAACAGATGAAAGGAAGATCGGGTGAATTTGCCAAGTTTTATTGGAGCAAAACCGGTTCCCGCGGTCTGATTGCATCATCTCCCTGTGTTTGCGCACTATAGCCAAATTCAAAATCCAAGCTGTCGGGATATTCCGGTTACACTGTCTCTAATCTTATTTTCGAAATTCTGCTGTAAAGCGACTAAAAAGATCCGATTTTAATAAGATTGTGGTTTCTAACACGATTCAAATTAAAGGCAGAGAGATCCTCAAACCGTCCAGTATATTAATGACATGCATTTTTTTTAACTTAAAAAAGGGCATGGACACAGTTTCAGCTGAAATTTTTTTTTTCACCTTTTTTCTGTTTACAAACTTTTAACTAAGGTAGTTTTATTGATGATCAAAAATTTGAATTTCAGTTGTCAAGGTACAATACAGATTAACATTATTAAGAGCTCCAAACCTTTAATTTGTAACATGTATATGATAATGGTACATTTATGTAAAGTTGTAAACATCAATCAACAACATCTATCTAATATTCCTAAATATAATCATTTTGTATCCTCTTTCAAAAGAAGATTCAACTGTCTTTAGGTCCTTGCCATGTTTTCGTTTACATTGACTGAATATACTAATTATGTAATTTTGTTCGTTCAAACAGATTTACAATTAAGATGTTAATTCTAAATTTTATTAGACAGTTTCTAGTACGTGATTTACTGTACTATGATATCATTTTGTTATAAATTTGATATTATCTATACAAAATAAACAAAAGCAAAACACGAGCCTTATCAACAAATGATGTTGAAAATTTTGCTGATCATTTGAATTGCCTTAAATCAGCTGTCCAGGTCCCTTTGTATTACAGTGCACATAAGTATGCTGACAAAATAAGACAATGTCATTATATCTTACATTTTTCCATAACGTTTACACATTATCTCGTTCATTCTCATAAATCAGAGTCTCAAACTTTGACTTATCTCGTCGTCCTTTGTTGGTTATAATTATGTACATATATGCATGTATGTATTATATATACATCTGGATCTAGCTGTTCAATTTAAATATTCTAACGTTTAGAAGCGTCTAAATGTGTAACGGCTACACAAAGCAGCTGATAAGTTGAAAGTTCATTGAAATTTAAGGTAAAGATCCATACCACGTAAAATAACGTTATGTGACGTTATTCTCGTTTGTGACGTTATTACGTCAAACGCGCCCGACGCTTATTCTATCAAAAAAGCCTGACGTCGATTTCACTTACCGTAAAAAAAAGGTACATTAATTTCCAAATAAAAGGCATAAATATACGATGTTCAGTTATTTTCCGGGATGCATGATCCAAGGAGAGTTTAAATTTAGATGATTCGTCAAACCGAAAGTACAACAAAGATGGCATGGAAGATTCATTGTCTCGAGTACAAGATAACTAAAAGACTTCGACAATCGGGTCGTTTTTTGTCTCTGTAAGTTGAAGAAATACAGAGTAACAAATAAATGGTTCTCTTGTCGAAAGTCATTATCGTTCGCTTACATGTTTGTACATAGGCTTAGTACATAACCATTTTCGAACCACGTACGGCTCTGAAAGTATTCAGGTACCTAACTACTTTGCTACAATATTCCGATTTTTATATGTCGTTTTTCTCTTCTCGATTGTTTGAATTAAAATATCGTCCCCTGGGGATTGACTCAGGATTTTGAAAAAAAATTATGGAAAACTTTTTTTTTTACAATGTATATATCATACATAAAACATTTACTGCACAAATATTAATGCTCTGTTATTTGGTATATCCTTGCACTGAAACATAAAATAATTATTGATAAAAAAAAAACCCCAGAATATTTCATTTAAGTAGGAAAGGACATTGATACATTGACAAAAAAATTCCTTAATACACATAATATGTGACATATATGCTGAAAATTTGGAAAAATTTGTTTTAAAGCTAGTGCACAATAATCTTTAGCTATCATTTGTAGTGCTTTGGGTATACAATGTAGTGTATTGCTGCACATGTCATTAGACTGACAGGTGTCCTGGGTTCGATTCTCTGGAAGTTGAAAAAATACAGAATAACAAATAAATGGTTCTCTTTTGTCGAAAGTCATTATCGTTTGCTTATATACTTGTACATAGTACATAACCATTTTCGAACCTTTTGGGCCTCTTGTTATATGTTTGCTAGAGCCAATTTCCAAATTGATGATAAAATTACATATTTCTCATCTACGGTATATACAATATGTATAATAAATGAGAAAAACATACGTCGAACAGACCAAGGGGTCTATATCAGATGGGGAATGGGGATATTTCTGTCTTCAAGCACCCGTGAATAGTATAGCAATAGATATCAGTCGCTAATAAGATAATGTGCAATTTTATGCATTACCATGATTACTGTAATGATAGTTAGACTTAAACCCACAAATAACAATATGACAGTAACAAAGAAGGGAATACATGTATAAGATGATAAATAGGAATGCCTATGACGTATGACGTATGTTTATTCACCAATCAAGGGCCCACAGGGGGCATGAACAATTATTACAAAATGATAACATTGATTACAATTCTATATTAAGGATAATGTAACATGACTTGTGATTAAGTTTGACATTGAGAAGTGCATCACCACACTGGATCAAAGGCATAGAAACCATAGAATGATAAAAGAAAACACAATTAAATAAAAATGATAGATATAAGGTAAATTAAAAAAAAAAAAAAAAAAAATATTGTAGTAATGGCAGTACTCTAATATAAAACTAGTGCATCTTGAATACAAAGGGCACCAGGGGATGATACCTATACACAGCCAGTCTGGCAAACCTGTACCCTAAGTATTGAAGATGGTCATTCAAAAAAAAAAAAAAAAAATCATTTAAGTATTAACAGAAATAGTAATTTCAATTAATAAGTACTTAGCATATAATTAGAAACTTAATGCAAACTAATCTCTTGGAGTTAGTTCAATAGATATTTGACATATGCATACCCACATACACAAACACACACTTACTGTTACACAAATCCATGCATACAAAAATAATAATTTATATACAAATGAGATCATAGAGGGTGATATAAAAAATAAATAAGGAAAAGGATAAAATTTCAATCCAACATTTCACAAAATCAACTCTGTTAGTTAAGCCGAGTGCTTACAATGTTATAATTATACAATTAGGTTGTTCGTGCTTGGTTTAATCATGCATTAATCATTAAAAACAAAGATAACCAGTTTCAGTTTAGATTTTATGGATTTATGTCAAGATTGTAGCTTTTTATTTGAATGAAAAATTATTAATACTGTCTCATAAAAGTTAAAAGTGTTTTTTTTTTCCAAAACAAATCAATTTTCCAACATACAGAATTTATTGCATAATTAATTTGACCCTTTGATCACAAAATCAATAAGGGTTTCCTTCGAGCCACAGAGAGTTGCTGTGTAAAATTTCAATGCAAAGGCTTCTTGAAAGTGTTACAGACAGACAGAAAGACACACGGACAGATGCACAGACATAAATTTAGTATCCCCACTTTCAGTGAAAGGGGAGACAATTATATAAGTTTTTTTTTGTTGATGTTAAACTTGGTTTATCAAGATACTTGTTTAAAAAAAAATTGCATAACTTTCCCAGTGATTATTCAGTTCTTTCTTTTCCTACATAAATAGTTTTTGATATCATATTGAGCTTAATAATATTATACACCTACACATTTATCTATTTTAACATCAATATGTACTAAGCAACACAGTTCCAAAAAGCCAGATAGTGTATTGGACCAGCATGCAAAACTTGTATAAAACCATTTTCACCCAAATGAATGAAGAGTCCTTCCCAAACTAATGAGTTAGGACTTTGTGCTGTGTCATGTAGCATGATAAAAAGCTGGAGAAGAAAAAAATCTTTTTTTTTTAATTTCATTATTAGAATACAATTTTAAAGAAGTATAATTGAACTGCCTAAACTCCAATACAAGTCAAATTGAACCATCTTGGATGTCTTGATTAAATGTTTTTATTTTAGGCACAGAGCAACAGAAAAGAGTTTTTTTTTAACTAGACCAAGTTCATAATGCATGTATTATTCCTCAGGTACTTTTAATATACAAGTATACATACAAATTAAATATTCAGTACCTATAATGATGTTCATCAGCTCAGACAATTTCAGGTTCGAGAATCTGTGTCAAAACTCATGGAACAAATGCTCACTGGATCCATATCAAAATATCACTTTAACATAGAACATTCTATTTACTCAGGGAGTTGTTGACTTTTAAAGCATCATACCAATGACTTTTCATACCAATTTTGCATAGATCAGTTTTTCCAAGGAGGGGTTCTGCCATCCAAGGTCACTTTTAGTAAAATTCACTGTTACTTTCAGTAAGGCGGGATATTCTTGATGTTATGTATTTAGCCTCTAAAATTTACACAGCTTTCATTCATCGTTGAAATATATGTGGCCGGGATAGAAATTCAGGACATATAAGAAAGTAAGATTACCGGTAAGTTGTCTATAATGATTGTCAACAATGATTAAAAGTACCTGATTTTATTAATTTTTTAACCAATGAAAATTTATTTGCCATTTGAAAGACACTAGTGCCGAGAATACTACGTCTTACTAAAAGTCCAAGGATGGCAGAGAATAATTGTACTGCTAGGTTAAGTATGTACATTTAATAATTCTGCAATGTCCATGGGAACACACACACTCACCACTAGATCCGCCATGAAAATTTCAATCAAAAAGCATCCTATAGAAATTATACTATGGAAACGAGAAAAAAAATATAAGTGCTGACAAAAATTATTGTGTTTACGGGTGATTTTGACAGCTCAGTCAGAGTACATAAAACAACTATTTTTTTATTGTTTGACTTACTTAACCCTTTTAATTATGAACTCTTTCATATATTTATAAAACCTTATTGATTTTAAAAATACATTTATAAATTGCTTCACATTTTACCAATTAAATGACATAGCTTTAGTAATGATGCTCTCAATGCAATTCTAGTCATCAACTATGGAGCTTGAATTTATTAAACGAATTTGAGTTATGTACGGAAAACCTCGATCATTCAGTGCTAGAGTGTCCCTAGCTTAAGAAGGGGATCTCTGCCTTCCAAGGATATGATCGCCTGTAAGCACGGTGTTTTAAACAAACAAACATTACAAAGTGATAACACTGAACATATTCATCTCCGCATACATTAATTTGATCTATTTTACATGGTATATGAATAAAAACATGATAAACAACGTTGAACCTTACTTGGACAGGTCCGAGCATTTCCTGAGATCAGAAAGCAGACGTTTAAAAGATGTGGCAAACAATCCACTTATTTGTATCTATGAATAGCGAGAAATGTATTACATAGACACAAAAAGTAGTAAAACGTGCCACTTCTCTAAATTTTTAATCAACTAAATCGCATCCAAACTACCCATGTTGAAACTGAAAGTATTTTCTTCTTTCACTTCCGTCACAACGTCACACATGCGCATTAACGGTTTATAGAATATTCCGAAGATTGAACCCGATTACTATTATGCTTGTGAATCGTGAAAACGAATTTTTGGCCGTCTATGCATTAAATATTCAACTTATGATTTAAACCATACTTATTACTGTTCTATTATCGATAGTTTCAAATATTTAAAGCGATTTTTACACCCCAATCCTAAAAGTATAGATGTTAAAAAGATTTTTCAAATTATCATTTTTCAGCAAATTTGGTTTAAAAATGTGAAATTTTCTTGTTTGATGCCCGATGTCCCACTTAATTTTTATGCCATATAAGGGAGAGAACATTGGAAAATAACGTGTTAATTTTAAAAAGAAATCTGTAGTCAGAATATCAAGCAGCAATTTATTTTTACTAGTAATGAACTTCATAATTTTGAGCTAAATATGTTTAATTCGCCCTAGAAAGTAATATTAGGTGGATCAGCAGATTAAAAAAATAATTAAACATTTAAACAAGCATATTTTCTCTATGATTCATATGTTAAAAAAATTCTTTTGCTTTTAATTTTAGAAAGCTAGAATAAATATCTTAATTTCCGCATTTCCGTCATTTCACGAGACAATGTCTATTTTTAGTAACAATCCTTTCAAAAGGAGGCCCGGTTGACCCCAAAATTTACACTGATCTGGAAAGGACAAATACTCAGATAAGATTCTGAAAAGTTTCAACAAAATCTGTAGTTCCGTTATTTCTATAGGATGGTATGGATCTTTACCTTAAAGCAAATTATTAAAATTTTATGCTGTCAATGTAAATAATTCGCCACCCAGCTTGTTTTTATATATCTGGTGAAACACACATGGCGATGAAACTTGACAACAACATGATATTTAAGCATTATGCAGTCAGTCAGAATACGAATGCACTACGTATCAATTGGGGAACAATAAAAAATACATAGCAGGTTTCAAATTATATATTTTCAGCATTAGTATATAAAAATTAGTGTGCTTATTTTGATCTTAACACTCACCTTTCTCTTCCTTGCCCGACATTTTTCATCGCTTGGACGCACTTTAACGGTATGTAAACAACGCCGACAGTGATGGTCGGCGATTCTAGGTCATATCAAACTTGCTAGCTCAGGGTAAATTGGAGTGGGATAGATTTTTAATGTAACAGAAGTCCTGTTACATACAGGTCTCTCTCTCTCTCTCTTGCATCCTCGTCATTATGGCTGTGTATTGTATTTTTATTGCAAAGAAATGAAACTTTTTTTAAAAAAGAATACAGGTGTTGACAGCTTTAAGGATATCTGATCCTCAGCCAGGAAGGATAACTCCAAAAATTAATATTTTATTTGAAATGCATCATAATGAAACTCGAAAATGAAATTTTTTCATGCAACAATTTTCATTTTATTCAACTTTATAAGATTAAAGGCCGAGGTTTTCAATCGTACGGTTTTCCTCAGCTGAGTGTATTACCTGTGTGCGTTTTCCTACGACTTTGTAAACCGAGGCCGTTTTTTTCATGTTTAGCTCATGAATTGAAATGCGAAATAAAACATTTTTTGTTGCAGACAGAATCCTTCTCAATTTCTTTCTTTTGAAAATAATTGATATTTTTAATAATTCGTCATTTTTTATAAACAGTGTGTTTCTTAATGATGTGTTATAACGAAAATACATTTAGCACCAAAATCTGTCATTGTAATCTGGCGACAAAAAGGGAAGTAATTCAAATTACACGTCGTCTACCCAAAACGAAAGAAGAAAGTGAATCATAAAACAGTCTCTCGGTAAATAACATTGAAACTTTGAAACGATGTTTTCAGAATAAAATGTTGAAGTAGAAATATTATTTTCTAAATAAATATCTTTTTAAGATAAACCCTAATTATTTTCCCATAACGCATGGTCGGTAAAAATGGCCAGGGCTTCGGACCGCGGTTGATTCCCCGACAGCTATGAAACAGGAATGGAAATCATCTGCATCGTTTTTATTCTTTCGGGATTCATTATTAATTTCAAACATCAAACATAAAATACAAAGCAAGATGTTATATTCCGAGTAATTTCTCTTCTAAAACTTATTATTATACCGTAACTTCAAGGTCACCATGTCTCGAAGAAAAGCGACACATACAGGGTTGTCTTATAAATATAAATTCGCTTGACTCATGAACAATGTTACAATGTTGTCATAATTGTTTTAAAAAATAATTTTATTTGATTCTATGATACTAGCTTCAAACGCAGGTCGGTTTATTTTTTAGGAATAAATGTACGTTTACTCGTGTTTTGAAACGGAAGTTAAAATTATCGATTGTAATCGTGATATGAATTAAATCCTCCCTTTAAAAATTAAATTTATAATATGTTTTATATAGCCAAGAGTTTTCTTTTCATTTATTTAATTATTTGATAGATTGATTATATTTATGACATATTTTTATGAATTAAAAAAGAAAAGAACGATTTGATTGCTTCTTTATCACGTCACGTTGGCATGTGCGCTAGGCATCAAAAGCCTGAAAGTTAATTCGATGGTCGGTAGGATCTCCAGACAAGGTACACAAGATATACACAACAGCAGCAAACTAAATGTCAATCAAATCAAAGTATCCAATCCCAGGCTTAAATTCAGATGATTGACAGGGGTTCTAAGACCAGATAAATTCGAAGGAGGTGCTTATTTCCTCCCCCTTTATAAAGGTTTTTGGAAGTCTTAGAAAAGGTCTTTAAAAAGTTGACATTTGTATCCTATAAAAGGGAAAAAAATTAATACAGTTTAAGAGAAATAAGATTTTCTTGAATCCAGACCTATATACAAATTCTCAGTAGCATGATATGAAATAAGAAGTGATTTCTGGTATTTTGTAATGATAGCAAAAGCCTTTTACACTATGTATTATAGATTACATGACGGAAATAGAAGTCTTAGACAAAAAAATACCAAAAAAGTATAAAAATCATGACAATTTCTCTGAATGAATGGATACCTATCGTTTTTTAACCTAAAATATATTTATTGATCGATTTGAGATTAGAAAACGCATTGCTGATATTTTAATTCGCTTTTTCTGCAAAAATATTGGAGATTTGACATTTTTTCCTGTATAATATGATAAACTTTAATCTTTAACTTTACAGAGTTGTTATTTTTTTTTTGTGGATTCAGAGATACTTTTATGACTGTTTTTGACTATGTAACTGCTTATTTTATAAACCTGAGGATCGGACTACCTTCAAGTCAAACAGATAGATACACATGACACACGTGTAGCAGAGATCATTCATTAACATTGTTGTTTCTCGATCAAAAGTCCGTGATCGGGAGGTCTTGAGTTCGAATCTCGGCAGCGACTGCTTCGCCATGCGCTCGGCACTTTATAAGAGGATTATATGTACAGGAAGAAGAGAGTGTGACTGAGGGTGTAGGGGATATGATACATATAGTTTTAGAAATACAGATATATACCTTAAGAATTCCCATCCCTGATAAGACCAAATTCTCTACTCTTTAATGGCCGTCAAGTACATAATACTCTGATATTCAGATTAAAGCATTTTATAGTAGGTTGATTTTTTTTTTCATCGCTTGTCAGTTGTGAAGATCAAGTGATCATCAAGGTAAACTAACAAAAAAGATATAAATTTTTAACCCTTTAATCAGTAAGCATGTTTAGTGTAACATAATATATAATATTAATTTTAAAAACATATACAAAAAGCTACATTCACGTTAATAAGCTTCAGGACTACAAGACAGACGTACATTTTTGAAAGAGTTGCAAACCTGTCTAACAAACGGAATTATTCTTGATTTTTTGTACTCATGCATTGCAACATATCTTTACAATCTCACATAGATCAGAGAAAGGATTTCAAAAAAACCTTGACATTGTGAAGATGACATCACAAAAGATTTATGGAAAGGATTATAAGTAAGGCTCTCTAGTATAATTGTGATTAATAAATGTACATGTTTCTTTCAAAGTGTCAAAATTACAGTATAGAAACCAGAATGGCATATACATGTACATTGTACATAAAAAGTTTTATTTTGATATTCCACATTTTCAATTAAACGTGCTATAAGAGAAATAAATGCATTAAAATTGCTTTTATTTCTTAATTATACTCTTTTGTTCTGCCTGTTTCTTAATATCACTTGTGTATATCCTAAAAAGAAAATTAAATATGTAGCCTAAGCCTTAAAAAAGTTATGTAAAAAAAATGTATGCACTATATGTACACAACAAATACACGTAAATGTAGAAGGTCCCAAAGATAAGGCTACAATGCATAACAAACGTTTAATATCAATAATTATATATTACGTATACATTTTTGTGAATCTCTGCATATCTGTCATAAAGCTCAAAATCACGACCCGTCCCGAATTTTCTCGTACGCTCTTGCGACCTGTAAAATCGTTACTTCATCGAACATTTTCCCCACAATCGACATTGCACAGGGCAACCCTTCACTAAATCCAGCGTTAATAGTGAGGACAGGGTGTCCAGTTGAGTTAAATGGGGCTGTGTTTTTCACCATTCCTAACAGCAATTTCAAGGTTTCTGAAAAAAAAAATCATAAAAAAAGTTGATGTTAATATATATGAAAATTCATAAAAATTATGAAAATTGTTATTAAAAAATTATAAATATTTTGATTGCTTTTCACTTCCTCACATCAAAGAAGAAAAAAAAATTGTAGTGTTTCTAATGCATGGACTTCATATGCACCTTGAGTTGAGTTACTTGTCGTAGGAAGTTTAAATGGCTTCCCCGGAAGTGTAGGCATTATCATGACGTCATAATCCTTAAGAACTCTGTTGTATTCCCTTGTCAAAAGTTGGACCAAGTTCTGTGCCTTGGTATAAAATTTGTTCTGATAATTTCTCTGCATATACTCAGAAAACAGCATGACTGCTTTGA